GTGAAGCAATAATTTTGTTTTTAAGGAATGTTAACAAAAACTGATTTTAGAACTTTGCAAGATTGTATTCTATGATTTTTTTATCGCATACCCAAGTCAAACGTGAATTCAGTGAAAATTCCTAGTGCACTTATGAGCAGGATACTTAAACACAATTTTTTAGGGGGATCGAACGAGGTTATTGTAGCGACCACCGTTTATATTCGCACACTGGGAAGAGGGCACGTTCGAGTGTACTTGATGCAACGCTCAACCTTGGGAAAGTCACTCTGAATGACAAAATTCCCAACCATTATTAACACCTCGCCTTGGGTCAAAAAAAGAAAAATCTGTATCATATCAAACTAGGGAGCCAATTTCGCACGATGAAAAAATGTTGGCACGGATCCTCGCACCTAATAAACCTGTACACGGATAATTTACGACACTACGTTTATCTTTTAGACACGTTCAGCGATCGGTCTGCGATTTATCTTTTATCTTGCGATCTTTTAGATTACGTCTTAATAACAGACTCCGTTCTCTCTTGCTTTAAACCCGATATAATAGTTCCTCTGTGATTAGCATATTATTGCAATTTTTATCGAGTCGTTTTAATCCACGATGTACTTTAAGGGTCACGTGAGTGAATGGAGAAAAAGTATAAATCGGTGCATAAAAAGAGAAAAGGGGACTCGCTTGAGGGAAGAGGAAGAGGAAGAAAAAGGCGAAAACAAATAAAGAATCAATAAAATGAGCTGATCGATTTAGGCCGCAGGTAGTTTCTTCTTAATGATGACTGCAGTTTATGAGCTCGACCGTTGAGCACTTTCGGACGTCTCTGATTCAAAGAAGCCGAATATGGAAGAGGAAGGAACAAGAGAGGGGCGGTGCCTGGTTTTCTGCTTAAGAGCAGGTCAGTTATACCAGACTGACTGGTCTCGAGATCGGCTGCCTACCAATTAAGTGGTAACCGACAACCTGTTATTTTTCCGACACGCTTCTGATCTGCCACATAGGTGGAGAAGGTCATTCGCACTTTTGTGTACACGCCTGTTTACGCATTCTCACAGTTTCGACTGACGAGATCGCTCGAGACTTGAGATAATGCACAGGGTGTCTTTTCATGTTTACCACCGTGCTGAGTTCTGTTCTACTACCATACAAGAAAGAATCTCGAGAAATTTTTCAAAGTTACTTTTCATTTCACGTTCCTCGAAATTGTTACAATAATAATATTCTTAAAGACATGTGAATTCTCCTATTATTCAATAAAAATTATTAGTAATTTTATTTAAATTATATAAAAGTATTAGACAGAAAATGAATAAAAATTGAAAATATCGTAAGGGTTAAATACGTAGTACAATGACTTGTTTATACTAACAGAAGAATCGATTACTATTTTTTAAGAATATTAAAATTGTCCAGGAATGAGAATCTTGAATGCAGTTTTTTCGCAATACTTCAAATTGATCGATTCGTCGAGATGATCGCGATAAAGCGGCGGGTTTATAAAATACGTTCATGAATCATTTACAACTTCGTTTTTACATACGTT